TAGCCTCTGTGACACTGCAATGGCGACACCGTTGACTTTGGATCGCTCTCCGTTATAGTACAAGTTGAATCCTCCGATCCTTCTCGTCTTAGCGCCGACCCATTTCGTTTCTTGAAGCGCGCAGATGTCGATGTTCCTTTCCGTCAGCATGTCCGTCAGTTCGGCCGGTTCAGGGTGCCGATGTCAAGTGTGGCGATCCTGATGGTCTCGCGCTTGTCCTTTACGGAGGACTTCCTAGCTTGTGTGTCCATTACGGTGGACGTCCTAGTTTGGCCTATTACGGTGGGCAACCTCTGGTCGGAATACTTGAAAAATCCACTGATCATTATTGTGCAGAGTTTGAATGAGCGAACGAATGAATGAATGTCATTTGGTATATGTCTCATTTCAAATGACCATTTCGACCGTCCGTTCCTGGTTAGCATTCAGACATGTGAAAGACACGGAAATTAACAAGAGGCTGTTGAAAATGTTCAATTCAGTCCACCTGCCACTCCAGTTCGAGCACTCAAATATTGGTGGAAAAGAAATTCAGAAAAACTAAGAGGATTATGGTGCAAGGCAAGAAATTCACCGCAAATGTAAAACTCACTGGCGAAATTTTTCAATTTCGGCGCGATTTTTCGAGTGAGGAAAAAAACGCCATTTCTTATGGGCCGACACAATAGATCGCATGCGTGCAGAGCCTCTCTGTAACAAATGAAGCTACAGCTGCCGAAAAAAAAACTCGGAGCAAGCTACAAAATCGCATTTCAACAGTTTTGAACTTCTTATTTAACACCAGTACGGTGGAAAGTTGAGCAGATAACCGGGATTCATCAAGAAGAAACTATTCTGCACTCTGAATTCGGTTTGCTTGCTACTTGTTCAGAGCCTTCATCATTAGCGGAAACGACTCCACGGGAATTTCACGGGTATCCAAGGATATTCGCCTCCAAGTCCCGTAATTTTCATGGAACTGCACCCGTGTTGACGGTCTTCTTTCCTTTGACTCATGCTTCAAGTTTTCTCAAAGATGCCTAATGAGGTTGTGGTTAAGACCTTTACCTGGTTATTTTGTCATTCGGATGCTGGTCTTAGGTGCCGGAACCTAGATTTCACGTACTTTTGTGTTTGTTTAAGAACACGTTATACGCAACCTGAGTCACTCAACATAAGTTTCTGTTATGGTAAAGACAGTACCCGCGCTCGGATTCGTATGTGTCCTTCCCTGTTCAATTAATCTAGTCCTCAAATTCTGAGATTATCCCACTTTCGCGGTTTACAGTAGGCAACGAATGCCCACTGTTCCCATCCCGCCTCTTATACCACTGCTTGCAACTAACGTCCTACCGTCCCGCGACGCACGTTGTGAAGTTGATGACCATTCTCTTCTAGGGCCCTGTATGGTATCTTACCAGCTGTTATCAATTCCTGCCACCCAGCAATAACTTTTCCATCCTGTCTCCTATCTTACTTTTTGCAACAACGTTCTACAGTTTCTAACGCGACTCATGCATTCGGTGATCTCCTCTTTCAGGACTCTAAGGTATCTTATCAGCTGTTATCCCTTCCTGCCACCTACCAGTAATATTCCCTTCCTGCCTTTATCCTACTTTTCGGACCCAACGTTCTACAGTTGCTGTAGCCGCGCTATGAAATTGGTGATCCACTTCTAAGGCCCGCTACAGTTTCTCCTTAGCTCTTTTCAAATCATGTCAGTAATATCGCCATCCTGTCCCCCATCTCACTTTTTTTGAACCAACGTTATGCAGTTGCTGTGGTACCGCGCTATGAACTTAGTGGCCGTCTTCTCTTAAGGCCCCCTCTCCGATCTAATCAGCTGTTATGACTTCCTACTACGCACCAATATCGTTCCCATCCTGCCCCCAATATCACTTCTTGGAACCAACCTCCACCGTTGCTGTGACGCGCCTTATGAACTTGGTAACACTCCCCTTCTAAGACCGCTATCGTATCTTATCAGCTGTTATCACTTCCTGTCACCCATCAATAGTGTTCCTGTCCCACCTCCTACATCACTTATCAATTTGAACTCTCTACGGCTGATTTGAAGGAAGTTATGAATTTCCGGTCAAACACACATACAAACATACACCCACTCACGCCGACAGACAAACTTAGTGGGTTAGATATGTAGGATTACCAGCTAATATAATATCCACTCACCCGGCACACAAAGAAAAACAACACACATACACACAGACTCTTAGAACTATAACAGTGGAAAGTTAGTTCCAAGCTATGAAACAGGGTATGGGCAGGTGCTGCCACGAAGGCACATCATCGGCTGGGGACTTTAGTCGAGTCTGTACGATCCCCCGCCCTTTTTTGGGGTAGGGGTGGTAGGACTCCCCCCCCCCCCCCCTCTTTGGTGGGCGCGTTTGTTGGTTGTGCTTTTGGGGGGGCCCCCCCCCCCCCCCTTTTTGGTGGGCGCGT